ATTCCTTTCAAGTATATAGATTTATTTTCAAGTCTTGCTTAAACATCTATCCCCTAGTACACTTAGTTTGAAGTCACTAATATTGCTGTAGGCAGGTATATAAAAGGAATTAGAGCTAACCACTACGGTGAAAGAAGGAAATTTATTCTATCAGGGTTGCTTGGAATTGACTGAATACAGTTCTGAACACAATAACTTTTGATCTGAATAAGATGGACAGTTCACCATGGGGACCTTTTCTGTTGTCCTGTGACAAGTTAAAACAGTAGCCTAGCAATTTTATAATTGCAGTCAATAAACGAGATAAAAAACTTATAATTGCGAAGTACAAAAATGAGAAAATTTTGAAAAAAAGTTAAAAAACTAAAACTGCAATTTTCTATGTATCTAGCTTGAAATTGTTCAGTTTTGCAAGCAGTCGACCAGGAAAGAGTGTACACACGCTAGATTATGTTCAAATAGCCAATCAGAACGATTTTCAGAAAAGTTTCTGTTCCCCTATGGTAGGGCAACAAGGTGGTATAGCAAATTTTTGCTAGAAGCTAAAATTGAGACGAAAAAACTTTGTTGAAAATTTATGTAAAAGTTTGAAAAAATTTGAAAAAATCGAAAAAAAAAAAAAATATTTTTTATTGTTGTCTAATGTTTAATTATGGTTCCCACCGATCAGGAAAGATTAACGACGCATTTAAAGACTTTCTGAAGTTCACTAGAGGCGATATTCGAAAAAGTGAAATTTTCACTTGGGTGTCTAGAACGTGAACCGAGATGAAATTCAAATGTGTTTTGTAACCATCAACATCCCTGAACCAATATCCCTGATCCGCGAAAAACGCATTATTTTTGCTTAAAAACAACTCCATCGCGGTGAAATTTCATTTTTTTGAAATTCGGAATTTTGAACTAAATTAAAAGTAAAATTTTTTATAACTTAACAAAAGCGAACCATTTGATTTGCGTAGAACCATAGGTTCAGAGCGTCAAGTTTTCTAGTTCGGAATAAAAGATTTTGCTGATTTCTTTTGCAAAAATTGTTTTTTTTGAACTTTTTCATATTTTGCTAAAAATAGGATTTTGACTAATTCAAGGTTCTGAAACCGATAATTTTTGATCTGATAAACAAAGACGCTTGGTAAAGTGGACCATTTTTGTTCTTCTATAATAGGGCCAGTCATAGGGATCAATAATTGTTCAACTAGACTGTTGGTAGAGTAAAAAATGACTTGTGAATATTTTTGGGATGAAAAAGAAAAATTAAACAAATTTTCAAAATTCAACATTAATCTAAAATTTTGTTATCAATGGTTTGCTATGATTTTTTTTGGTCATATTGGGAAACAAAGGGTGTCCTGCAGTTATTCGATTGTAACAAAACTTTATCTATTTCAAAATTAAAAGATTTTATTGGAACATTATACCTGATACTCTATCTATCTCTTTCTTGATTTTTCTTATCGATTGAGTTTGATTGAAAACAATACACTCAAATTTAATTTACTCAATTGACACAGAAATAATAAAATATATACATATATATACAAACAGAAATCAAACTGATATGTTACAAAGCGAAAGCAACAGATTCCATAATTTTAATAAATCAAAACATTTTTAAAAATAGCAAACAGTTTTTGAAAGTTTTCTTAAAATGGATTGAATACAACTTTACGCTTTTTGGGCGCATAGCATGTTGCTACTGGCGGCGTCTCTGGAATGTTTTTAGGACCAGCTGATTCAAAATCTTCGTCGGAGGGTTGTGACACAGATCTGATCGGTGTTGTTATCGTTGTCACGTCTGCAGTTGAGTCCGGAGGAGAGGAGATTGACGTCGTTGACTCGATGTCCCAGTAGGATGCACGCTCTGCCAAGTCCCTAAAGTACCCTTCCTGGTTTTCGTACAAGGGAATCGTCTCGCAATCGTAGCGAAAAAGAATTTTTCGAGGTGATTGTTTGAGATATCCGGGGTTGTTGATGTCAGTCTTGTCCAAAGCAGGATAGGATTTGGTCTCTGTGGAGCTGTCAAAATTACTTTTCCTGCTCTGACGCAGAATGGTGATCTGGTCGAGTAAATAATTGGGAAGCATCATAAGGCTTTGAGTAGTCCAATCGCGATACTCCTGGTCTGAGGGTCGACGTGCCAAGTCGTTGAATGGAGATGGCATTCTCTCCCGTTCTTGCTGTACAATGACGACCGTTTCTCTCATGTAGGTTTGGTATATTATAGTTCGCTCAGTTTCCGAAGTAGAAATTACTTGCAGAGGACTCGTCATGGTTAGAACTTGAGTTTTGTCTTTCTTTGAGAGCTGAGTTTCAACTGAGTTGTTTGAATGAGAATGCGAGAATGAAAATAATTAGCATATAAGTTTGAATAAAGTAAGAGGGTGTGTGGGTGGTGGTTACGGTTGTGGGTGGTCTAAAGGTGTGCCCTACAACTTTTTAATATGTTTTATGGAGGTGTTTAGCATATGTGTGACAAGACGGACATACTTAAGATCTATACTTCAAAGAAACCACGTGGCGTCTTTTTTTTTATTATATCCTCAGGGCAAAATGACATGAAAATTTAGACTTCAAAGACATTGTGGGTGTACCTAAAGGCGAATCATATCATGATTTATGTTTTAATTAGGTTTTGTCAAACAAAAGTTATCAGTGCAATAAAACTTTTTTTGCCTCATAAACATCTAAAACTACTGAAATGTTCCCTATTAGACCCGAAGGTTTTTGTAATAGATAAATGTAACTTGCTGAAAGTGGTGATGAAAACGATGCGGATGATGAATACTCGAATAATAAAAAGTGTAGAGATGCCTGAAACAGAAAAAAACGTTTGAATAATTTGAGTTAACTAGCAGAATGGTTGAAGCAATGTATGAGCAGTTGCCTGAATTTATTTTTAAAAAAAATTCGAAAGAATTTTAAAATTTTTCATTCTGAACAACGAACCCGACGCCTCACAACTCCCTCTAAACACAATTTTTGCATTTGCAACCCATTCAATTCAGAACGAGTCTTGCGCCCAATTGCTCGACAATGACCAACCCCACATCCATGTTCTCATCGAAGTAACCAAAGATTGTGTCGACGTAGTGAACAAGATGACCTCAACCACTTTCGCTGTAGCTTGTCTACTCTCATCTTTCAAGCATCCAGTATTGGGTTGCAGTAAACTTCACCTATCGGGATCCCTGATGGAATAATTAAAAATTGCTGTCAACTACAACAATTCTATTAACAACTCAACTGACATTGGCAGTGCTCCTCTACGAAGAAGATTGCCACAAGTTTGCTTTGCTTCACAAACTCGATCCATTCAAACTCAAACTGATTTAATCACTAATGTAACAATTGAACGCTTCATTAATATTTTGAATGGTGACAATGCCGCCGAGTTTTCTAAAATTATTGATATTATTCTGAGTGGGTATGGTCGTTTAGAGATTGATTCAAAAACTTTGTTTGTTAAATTTATTATGGAAAAAAAATTCAAATTTTTAAATCTGTTTTCCTTTTTATTTAATCAAACCCAAAAAAAATCTGACTACACCAGCGAGAGGCGTTCCCAAGGAGCGTAGCGATCCATGCCTCAATATTTTTTTGGGACTCGATATAAAAAATTTCCAGGAGACTTTTGAATTTTGATGTTTTTTTTGTTAACAAGATTGCTCTAGAACCCCCTGACTTAGATATTGGAACAAAAAAGTTTGAAAAAAATATAAATTAAATCACTTCATAACATCAAATCAATTATATCAACATATGTTTTGCAAATCGCATCAAATCATGATCATTCACTTTAAGTCCTAGAGGAAATCTAGATGTTATTATCAAATGGACAACGTAAACACAATAAAGTCCATATAAAACTAAGTTTGCTGATTGAATAGGTCTGTTCATCAGTATTTGATTAATTTCACCGTCATGTAAACTCATGAAGCGTCTCGCATATTTGTATACGTTCGGATACATTGTTAGTTTTTGTCCAAGGGGATCAGCGAAGAAAACTTGTCCATCAGCTCAAGCAAACAGTAACCAATGAGTACCCGGTTGATCAGAGTTTGATGCGTTCACATTTAAAAACGTTTTGGTCGTTTTTCAACGCCAATGGACAATTAGCTGGTCCAATACCTTCAAATCGATACTTTAAATGTTTGCATCGATTGATGAGCTCATATATCTGAGCATTGTCCATTTTTACCGTTTCTTACTCTTTCTCTCTCCCTCTCTCTCTCTCTCTCTCTATCTCTCTCTCTCTCTCTCTCTCTCTCTCTCTCTCTCTCTTCTAAGTCATGAGAGTATTTTTGGCAATTTTTCTGTCAGAACGGACGTATACTGTTGATGCGCGCTCTCCCATGAAAAGTAACTCAATATTCCCAGCAAGTGGAGCTTCGAATTTAAGCTCCACGGATAATGTGCAATTGATCATTCAGGATGAATAAAGTCATGTGAAGCCTCCTGGGTAGATATAAGATCAAATGCCCCAAAATAAAGATTGCTATAATTAGCCAGACTGATTCCATGACTATTGTTGAAAACAAAATCCAGAGCTTCCAATGTGTTAAAGTAAATTCTTTTGATATCTGTCGTAGCTATTGGAGTACCTGCAATAGGTAGCCCGTTCTTGTACACAATGATTTCATTCAATCTGAATTTTTGGTAATGAAAAGGATTCGATCTATTTGTGCCCAAGTAAGCCTAATTTGTACTCATTGCCACAATCATTCTTCGTACTGGCTCTTTCGCGAAAACATCCTCTTGACGCCAGCTTTGTACTCATGTAGTGGCCAGAAATGTTTGTGGTAGGACTTCGATATAATTATAAATTGCTGGGCTTTTCAGCAGCGTTTTTTCTATCGATGACAACACAAAGTCTGTCACTGTCATTTTTCGCACATATAAGTTAGCTTCAGTGATTTGAACTTGGTAATGTTTACCATTGTCCTCTGACATAACAACAAAGTCTTAGGAGAACAACTCAGAGAAAGACGGGCAGTGACACCACTTATTAAATGCTTGTCACAAGACAAGAAGTCACATGCTATTTTACCAAACAATCTCAACTCGGCCGAAGCTGCTACAAGACGTTTACGTTCTGCAACATCAACAGCTCTCCCAGCCGTACCATCCATATTTGCTGGGCTATCCTCATAATAATAGCCTTGGCAAGCAACCCAATGTTTTTTTGCGTCCTTACCGTGAGAAACTTCAGTTTCAATAAAACTTTTATGTGCAAAATTAGCATTGGTTTTTGAGATTTTTTCGTCATTTAAAGACAGCGTGCATTCTGAAAACAAAGATGAAAACGGGTTATTGACCAAATATGGTGTGTCTCTTAGTCCCGCATCGGTAGCATGAGTTCGTAAAATATTTACGTTGTTTTGTACAAGTCTCAGCACTATTTCAAGACGAGTGCGCTGAAGATCAATGAAGTTGTCTCGATCTCCCAAAAGTTCAAACTCAAGCATAGGACCATCAGGCGACTACGATGATCCAATTTTTTGGGTAAAAGCATTTTCAAAGGTTACAAGTAGAGGAGGTTTTTCAAACAAATCTAGAGAACTGTGGGTCGCTTCAGTTGGTCTCAAATTAGAAATCGTTTCGCACTCTGGTGAAGAAATTAGAGCAACTTCTTGGTAGATTTCGTTTCTTTGAAATGATGCCGCTGATTTTTCTTCTGATTCTCTTCACTGAAGTCTTCCTCTTCCTGATCTTGCGAGCAGATTTTTTTCCGCTTCCCATTTGTTTTTTAATCGTATTCTTGACTGTACTTTTCAAAGCTTGCTTGGGCGTTTTTTTCTTAGTGGCTTTATTAATAAGCTCCGTAGCAGCTTGGACAAGCAACTCTTTTCCGATGCGTTTTGCAGCAGGTATTATGAATTTTCGAGCTAAAGGAAGCGCATCTCTTCCAATTCCCATTGCCAAGGCACCAACGCCACTGCCTCGTTGTCTGTAGTGCCCTGAGAAGTGCAGCATAGTCGCTTGATTATGGTAATACGCATCCATATTTAATACCAGCACTAAAATTTTTTAAAGTTTTAAAGTTAGAACAACTTTTCCTCCTCCACGCGCAAATGGAAATGGGACAATACGACCAGCTTTGGTTCGCAAATTTACCCCAATGCTTTGAATATTATTTACTAGAAGTTTCTTGTAATCTAAATTGCTGAAAACTTTGCGATGATTAGGTTCGATCGGACACACGTTACCGTTTTTCACTCGCCGATTAGTATCAATGACTCTTAATAGCGGAGCATTGGTATCCCCCATAATTTGGTAGTGAATGATATCCTAGTATATAAACATTGGTTGAGTACCGGCAGTCATGTCAATGGGATAGTCAGAGATCAAATTTTGAGTTGTTAATATGCTATGTACTTGGCTGAAACGTTTGTAACCTATGTGGTATCCTGTTCCAACCCTTAGGTCTTTGAAACCCAAAATACTGAGAAACTGAGGACTCTCAAACGTAATTCCTTCCCAGTAATGCATCCATAATGTGAAGTGTCTGGTAATCGGATCGATATCATAACTGAAGTTTTCAAGCACCGTCTTCAAGTTGATTTCGTTAATTATTTTCCTTAACATCATCATATAAATACCCTGTAATTTCAACTCGTTCACCATCATATGGCCTGGAAATTTTGTCTTCATTAACTTTTTAACTTGCTCTGACTTTGCCTTTTTTGTAGTATATGAGCTTTGTGTCTGTTACATTGTTTATATGAGCGGGGAATGTTATTTCTGTCAGTGCTACTTTCCATTCACCTTGGAGATTGATCTCTTCGCTTAAAAGATTTTTAAAGTTGGCCCATGAGTTTTCACTGAAAATGTTCATAGACGCCGATGTCACCAAATTAACCGTAAAGGAATCGTTGATAGCGTCATCAAAATTGTTAGTCATAGCTGATTTTCTTGTTCTTGTTCTTGTGCCTCCTCCTCCTCCTCCTTCTCTTCCTGCTCTACTTTTTCTACTACTCTGATTAGTTCAGGCTCATAGAATTTTCCCTTAATTGGCTCCTCGTTTGCGTCAATAAGGTTATAAGCCGGAGGATTTCTTGTTGGTACGTCAAATATTTAAAAAATTTCGTCTGTGAAAGACTGTTTGTATCATTTCCGAAAAGGAATGTCAATTTTTGCTAATCTGACAAAATCGCCAACACAGAGTTTTGGTTGGCAAACTAATTTTTGAAAATGTTCTACTCGTAATGAAATTAGATGTGGAACATCCTTTTTAGTCACTTTAATTGGTGCCTTTTTTATGACACGATTCGTTCGTGAGTTAATTGTGTGAACAAATTCTTGAAGCTTGTCTATGTAAAAATAATTTCATTTGTGCTCGAAATATTTGTATATCAAACTCTTCAAAGATCGAGTATTTCTCTCGGCAAATGCAGATTTTTTTTCGCTCTCGGTTGTGTAAGTCAAAATACCCTTCTTATCACATAGTGACTGAAATGATCCCTTGAATTCTGTGCCCTTGTCTACCCAGAGTTTTTTTGGTTGTTTAATCTCAATCATTTTTTTGAATGCTTCTGCTGTTGCAGTAGCATATTTTGATTTCAATGGCTGCACACGTAGATATCGGGACATACAATCTACAGCAACCAGGAGATATTTAAAATCTTTGTTGTATTTTGCAAGTTTATCAACATATGCTAAATCAACTGACTATTACTTTTAACCGAGGTATTTTTCGACTAACATCTCGATATTTTGTGTATGCGGGCTCTGAGTGTAAAAAATGTCAAACTCTCCGTCGTGGTAGTTTGGTTTCGTCTTTCAAGTTCTCCACACCTCCAAACAGAGCTGCCCCTCCAGACGTGTAATTTTTTTAAAATATTTTCTCTTCAGCTGGTGTAGGTTTGCCATCTCTTTGTTTTTGTCTCCGTCCTTTCTGTCGCTGAAGTATCCGAATCGTAAAAGCGCGTTCCGTACGAATCAGAGTCTTCTTGGTAGTCTTCTTTTTACTTCTTTGCTGTAAGCTTGTACTTTTGGTGCCTCCATGTTTTTTGACTGTTTTTGAGCTTGAGGATGCTCTGTTGGTACTGTCAACACTTGTTGGTTGTTTGGTGGGACTTTTGATTTTTGCTGTAGTAGCAATAGCTGCTTGATCGCGTGTTTGGCATATGTATTCATAACCGACTGTTCGTTAAGGTTAAGAGCCGAAAGAATCATTATGAAAGCAGGATTTTGTAAGTTTTTGTTCTGTTGTTTTATATCATACAGAAAAACTGATGCTTTGATTCCAATGGGGACCTTTTCCAGATAAATTATTTTTTCATTTTTGTTTATTTTGACCCGAGTCGATGATTTAATAATTTCCAGAACATTTTTAGCTCGTGTAAGTTTTTTACGTCCATGATTTCTAACTGTCCTAATATACGTTTTTCAACAGCATCCATAGCATCAGTGGACTCATCACTACCAACATTCGTTCCATCTCCCTCATCTTCGGTCATAAGCGTTGTTGTTGGCTGTCTGTGGTCCTCAGGTGCAACAGTAACTGGTATTGGTATTGTGTCAGTTGGGCTCTTTTTCCTTTCCCCCCACCCTACACGCGCTTCAATATATTTGTGTAACGGGTGGTTTTAAGAGATAAAGTATGAAGACTAAATATGTTTGTCGTGGCCTTATCAGTCTGTATGTGAATTTTCATAACAATCGGACAATGTGATCCACAAATTTGCATGTAAAATTTTGCAGGTGGGGGGAAAAGTAAAAAGAGCCGTCAGTTGATGCATCACTTTGTTTCGGAGGTAATTGCGGTCTCATTTGGTTCAAGTATGATAATTGAGGCTTTTTATGTTCAATTGAATTGTCAAGCAGTACATGTGCTGCATGTGGTTGCTCTCGAACATAGACTAGCTTTGGAATGAAAACAAACTATTCGGCTGCCATCATTGTTTATCTTCTAAGGTAATTGAAGCAAACGTAGAGATATGTCAGACTAGATTAAACCCTTGCTTACTCAAAAAATTGCTTAATTTCTGTCAAGGTTCGTCTGTGGGTTGATTAACAATTTATATAATTCTTCAAAATTGTGAAATTGTGTATGTTAGGGATATTAACTCGCACGTTACCATTGACTACATTCAGCAAGCATTCGCATATAACTAAAATCAAATTTCAATTTGATGTTTTTCTAATAAAACTTCGAAGTTGAGAAGGATTCAATTGAACCATGTGCTACAGAATAGATCGTTTTCTCGCGTTCATTTGTTATGGGTGTGACTGGCTCTGCCTTACTTAATGGTAAGTAAAAAAATGATGGTTCTGGTGGTATTAAGTTTGAACAGTATCGTAAACAATCTGATGTTCGGGGATCTGAATCAATTAATAGATGTCCATATGTGTCTGTTGTGGCAAGTTCATAACAGCTTCTCAAAAATTTTGTTATTTTCAGTTGCCTTCCAAGATGCTCTAGTTGCTGAATATCACGAGGTGACTTGAATAAAATGATATGCGATGTGTTTAAATCAATTGTTCGGGACCAACGACTTTGCTGGAATAAATTATGCTTGACATATACAACATCTAAGCCTTTGTGTCTCCCTGCTGATGCGAGTTTAACAAACTCGTTATCAATGCATATTTCTTCACAGGATTCATCAAACACTAGAAGAACATTTTCAATGTTCCTTAGCCCATCAAAACCGTTGAATTTCACAAACTCAATGTTAATATTTTGAGCCTACCCTTTTTCACTGTACATCGGTTGACTTTCTGTGTAAAAGAAGATTGTTCTTTTAAACGGTGGATAAAAAGTTTTTCCTTTCAAAATTTGAATATTAACTCTGTTTTTCCGGATCCTGAAGGTCCAACAACGGCCATAAACGCTCGCGTTGAAATATCAACAGTTTTATTCATATCCGAGGATTTGGAAGTACGTAGCCAACTAAACCGGACAGGATTGAGAACCAAACTCATGTTTCCTCACAGCTGAGTTTCGTCAAAGAGAGTTTGTAGATACAGAAAGTCAATAAAATTAAAATTAAAATCATTTGAGACATG